ATTCTCTTGTAAAAGCTCTTTTTTGGTTAGCTTTCACAATATCATCAGGAGATGCTGATTTGAAGTCAAATGGTGTTATGGCTATTATAGGACCAGTTTCCTTGGGCTTTATGTCTTGTACTTGTCTACTGTATAGGAAAGCTTTATGCATACCAATTGTGCGCCGCTTATAACCTTTTGGAGGGTAACGGAGACACAAGGTTAAAGCAAAAGCTGAAGGTCTTGCACGTAGCACCTTCATCCATGAAAGGGACAAATCCTGCCTCTTAGGAGTAAGCCCTCTTTTGGGTTTTTTATTTGTTTTGGCAAAACCAGAACATTTTCCTTGTTTTTCTTTTAAAAGTCTAGTTTCAGGGCTTAAGATATTTGACTGTCCTACCACATTTTGTTCTGCAGATACATTGGCATTTTTTACAAGGACACTTAAATCAATGTTGGTTCTTTTAGAGGGCCTCAGTTCAGCTACATTGAGCATGGGGAAGTCTGTCCTTTGTTGAGTTTTATCTACTTCAATAGTCTCTGCTATTAAATCCGAGAGTGATAAATTCTCAATTTCCTTTAGTGGAGAAACTTTAGAGTGGGCTAGAGAAGACAAAGATCCTGTTAGCTCTGGCATTCCACCTGAAGTTTGGGGTTGACTTACTAGTTGTGATAATGGTGAGGTTCCCAATTTCATATCAGTGAGACTTGCTGTTGACTGGGTATAAAGATCAGCCAAAGAATAACAGCGGTTAGCACTGCTTTCCTGGTGCTCCTGAAGTAAGTCGGCCAATGATGTACTTCCAGACCTTAACACTGACAAAGCAGCCACGTCTGAAGACGGACTTTCTTGTTTTCTACTTTGCACAAGTGAAGAAAAATTTTCAAGAAGTTCGTTCTTTCTATTTACAGTATGACCGACTTCATTACGAAGAGTCAGTTTTCCTAAAGCACTTGTTAAACACGGAGGACTGTAAAAATGTGCATTACTATTACAATCAGAAGTATTTGAGGAAACAAGAGGAATGCTGTCTTCAGGACTCAAAGAATCACTAACTACATTCTGCATCAGCAAGGATTTCAAGTCCTGTGTTTCCTTGCATTCCAACTCCTTAAAGGAAGGATTTCCAGATGGGTTACTTCCTATGCTACAGTAAACATCTTCCCTGTCAGGAATCAAACTTACTGTGTTAGCACTTTCTGGTAGTTGATTCTCTGCCTGTTTATTCACAGGTTCAAAAAATGATCCTTTACACAACTCATCACTGAAAGAAGATGACAGAACAAGTGAAGAGGATTTCAATCCTTTCCTTTCAGATGTGGGTATATTGGATTTTTCAGCATTAAGGAGCATTTTGTCATTTGTAATTAAAGAGTAACAAGCTGAACCACTTTTGGCTGTCAAGTTTCCAAACCCAGGTTTGTTGTTGTTGTCAGCAACATTTTCTATGGCACAAGAGAAACTGTCTCTATCAATACACATTTCTGGACAACAAAGTAAGTCTCCTTACCTTACAATAGCCAATAATTTTCAGATGGAAGTGTAGTCACCGCAAAATAGCCCATGTTTTTAAAGTAGACAGCAGCAACAAAAAAATCAAGAAGAAACATGAAAAGGCATTTAATTACTAAGTGTTATCCAAAGATATGCAATGTTCTACAATTAAATTATGACTTTCTACTGGAATACCTAAGAAACTTCAAGAATCAGCAAAGAATGCCAGTAAAGAACACAAAGATTTAAGCATAATTCAAAATAAGAAAGTTACTGTACAGGCACTACCAAAAAAGGGAGGTATTGGGGATGGGAGATGTCAGTCCACCAAACAAATAATGTAAGTGCATAAAACTTAAAGATGTTGTCCAACTTTTAGGACATGTATTCATTTAGTTAAGTTATATATTAGAAATCAGAAATTTACTGTGAACTGCAGATGGTTGCAGTTTGAATTTAAGCTGACACTAAGGTTTTATTTTGACTTCTAGCTCAAGAAAAGCTACTGTTTCCTTTAAATGTTTTTAGAACACAGAAACAGAAGAGTAAGTTGGTCTTTTTTGATTTTCTAATAAATGACTAATGCAATAACAAGCATCTTCGCAGCTTGTAAAGCCAAAATTAAACTGTACATAGAGATGAATAATCTTGAATGTAAACAATTGAATAGAAGTATACCTTTTGTCGTCTTTCCTACAATCACAGCGTCCTCATTCTTGGTCTTCACATTTTGCTTACTGTCTTGTGAAAGCACAAGATCCAAAGCCTTCTGTACATCAAATTTACTATCCAGTACTGCTTGCACCATTGTTTGCTCTGGTACAGACTCTGCCAAAACTTCTCTCATTTGATCAAGGCATGAATTAAGACGGGCTAAAAGAGACATATTACTGTTATAAGCTGCACAAAAAAATATCTTAAGCGGCCTAACCCCTAGCACCACACATCTGATTAACAAGAACAGGAGAAAGATACCATAGTAAAAGATAAAACCTTTAGAAATTAATTTCAGTCTCACTTATTGCCATGATAAACTTTGCCCCCAAACCCTGCAGAATATTTGACTAATTTCAGATAAAGAACATATCACTGACTACTATTTATTAGTTTATAAAGTCTCAATATTGAAATACTATGATGTTGTAAAATTAACTATCTTCACTGCAGAGAAGAAATACAAATAATCACCTTAAAATTATCCAAAGTAATTTAGTAAGTCAACATGGAATCCCACTGAACAGCACATGTTACGTGTTTACAGATGCTATAATTAACACCCAAACTACCTGCAATCTTTACCTTTCCTAAAACTGTAATAAATTTTTTGGCTGATAAAATCAATTTTCTTTGCAGCTATTTCTGCAACTAGTATAAGCCTTGACTAAAATAAGATTCTTAAGTCTTGACCTGCCTCACAACAAGGGACTGAAAATTCACCAGGCTGGAAGTAGTGTGCTAATCAGACATACAAACACAAGAGAATAGAAGAAAATCTTCCTGAATATCACAGTTTCTGCGAGTTCAGATTTTAGAAAACAGGAACTGAACAACAGGAAGATGACTACAGATAATTTATTTGAATACCTCCTCAAAGACAGTGATTTTAAAGAACTTTGCTAAGGGAATTCAACACCACAGAATTCCAGCTTCCTCAAGGTTACTTAAATCAGCACCCTCAATTCGTAACCAAGTCAATGTTCCCAGACATTTGCTCTGCAAAACAAGTACTGGCAGAGCCCTGCACAATGTGCTGCTTGGCCATTTTATTACCCAACACTCAACAAGGACAATCTTGCCAAACTCTGTGCAACCAGATTGAGTACAATCAGTGATTTTGTATTAATGGCCAACACTGCACACTATACCAAATGTAACAGGTGTTGTGGGACCACTGCTGTTTTCACAGTAGAAATGGTTATTTCTAGGTTTCTTTTCCATCTTTTTTTAGTCCAGAACATTACTTTCCTTCTTGTTCCAATATCAATTCTTAACTGACTGAGTCTGTCAAAAGCATTCTGAAAAGCCAGGGTACCGTATTGTCTAGATCACCTGTATCCACATACTGGCTGATTCTTTCAAATTGCCCTCTACAACATTATTTCCTGCTGTAAAAACACATATATTACACCCCAATTTATCACGTCTATGCATTAGCATAGCTTCTACCAATTCACTTGACATGGAATCTAGATTGTTTCTATTCTACCTATTTTTTCTGAATTTTCTGCAACTTGTTTTAAATACCAAATTTCATTCATGCATATTATTTATCTCAGCTCAGAACTTGGCTTGTAACATGGAATTCATGGCTGCAGGACTGAATGGAAACCAAAGTCTAAGGAATTCAAAACCTTACCTTCAAGGATAAGAAAAGACTGTAGAGGATACAGGTATCTAAAGATATTGGCTACTGTTTCAAGGAACTGTGTGACTTTGAAAACCTCTCAACTGCTACTAGTTGCCATAATTTGGAATGCAACACAAGTAAAAGATCATTCTACAAATACTCTAATACTCTTCCCTAGGCATCCATTTGCGGAATCAAGACCTTGAGCTACATGGATGCTTGGCCTGAGCCAGTACAGCTGTTCTTATGTCTGAATTTCCTATCAGATCTCATTATTTCTAATAAGAAACTAAGAACGTATTTCAATGTATGCAACCAAGTTACAAGTAGTATACAAAAGGTAGTTACAAACTTGAAGAATCATCACTGAAGCTATGCTCGTGAAGGGTGTTGTTCTACAAGACTACAAAATTGTGAATAGTGTCAGTCAAGTAACAAACGTTAATTTAAGACTATTTTAGTAAGTCCTTAATTCATAAAAGAGATTGTTCCGAGAATTATTTATTTTCTATAATTACCTCTATCAACTTCAGTCAACTGATGATTGGATGTAAAATAATCAGCAGTATCATCTGTACCTTCATAGCCATATTCTTCTTGTAATGGCTCAGCAAATGTTGCTGGTTTCTCTCGTCTGGAGTAGATAAACTGAGCTGCTGCATTAGGTAAAAAAAAAAAAAGTATTAAAAACAAAAAGTCAAATCTTCTTTCCTCCTTTAAAAACTGGACATATCTAAAGGGGAAAAAAAGTTAAGATGCTGACCCGTTGCAGTGGTTTGGGCGGGGGGAGGATGGGACGCTACTGTATAATGACTACTACCTGCAGACTGTACAGAGCATACAGCAGTTCATGCTGGAATATAAATAAGTCACCAACACAGTGAAACCACAGGCTGGGCAATATCTTTGTATTCATGTAATGCAATAATTCTGCAAAGTTCAGTATTCAAACAAAAGAATATACTCCAGGTTTGAAAAATAGTATTTTCTATACGAAATTACCCTCTATGGCCTAATGCTTTCAGAACCTTACTCCACTTTTTTTTTTTTACCTCCATTACAAGTAAAAAAAATTAGCATGAAAATAACGTTGCTTCTACAGTATGGCACTGTCAAACTACTGGTAACAATTTAATGGAGTTGAACACATTCTTCTCTTCTTGGACTTTCATTAGAAATACAGCCCATGAATTAAAAAAGTATATTCACACAAAACTTTAAACAAGTGCATAATTCCACTCTGATTTAGCAACACATTAAGGCATATATAGACAAAACTTCTTGGTGAACATGAGCCCCTGTCATTACATACTCTCAGAAATGTAAGCAAATTTCCTTATGTTATGTAATATTCCCCCCAGCTCCAAAATACATACTGAAAGTATACATATATCCAGAAGTTTAGTAGTATAGCCTCAGCAACTGTTTCCCAAATGCACACCATTTCATATTCAATCACCAAAACTGAAGCACCTATTAAAAGATTGCTATAAAACCTAGATCAGATTATTTTATAAATGAAGCATACATAAAAATAAGTCTTGGGAAAACTACTGTGCACAAACAAGAATTAGTTTTGCAATTGAGCAGTTTATATTTGATTAAAAAGTAAACACATTGCACATTTTCATCACAAAATACAAGGTTACCTTAATTCTCAGAAAAGGTCTGAAAAATTCTAGCAGTTAAACTTAGAAATTGAATGTAAGACGATCTGAATTTAAATCAGGGAATGTGACCACAAATAATAAAAATGCACACCTACATTTGCTTATCTCAAATCAACAGGATGACAGAGGAACAGATTTTTAAAGACCTACTTAACTCAAGTACCTGTGGCCAGAGGTCACAGACTACACCACCGTCACAGTGGATTTAGATCCAACCTAGTTACCTGCAGCAGCACAGCTTCACATCAACATCAGCCATACTATTTTCAGGGCCTACTCAGTGCTAGAAACACTGCCACCAAATCTGGGGAAACCCTGAACTGATAACCTTGCCAGAGATTTGACTGGAGAACACAACCTAGTGGTTCTACAGCTGGGCTGAATTCAGCTGGATTAAGCCACTCCAATTATGTCTTACCTCAGCACAGAGCATCACTATTTTTATACCTACTTTGCAACACTACAAATGCCCAAAGGCTTATTAGCTCCACATGATCTTGCATGAGAACAGAAGCAGTGAGGACCAGTGCTGCATCCCACAATAAGACTCCTTACCCTGCATTTACTGAAAGTTGTGTAAAAGACGTCAACTACCAGGTGCAGAATCACAACTGTTAAGCCCAGCCAGATCCTACTAACAATTTTAAAAGACACCAAATGTTTCAAGACTATCAATACATTCCCATAAAACAGATTTTTACTTTATCAAGTACATTCTGACCACCCGAGATAACATACTTGTACAACTGAAGATGTGCCCAGTTGTCTAATGTGAATTCCAAAAGTACAACAGTGCCTAACACTACACCTAACTGACTTTAACAGGATTATGGTCGCTAGGCGCTTTTCAAAAGTTTCACTAGCTTTTAAATATTGTTTTATTCTAGAAATAAATATCAGAATAGGAATCAATGGACAATGCTTATATGTAATCATTTGAACTAACCTGTTGAAGGAGAAATGCAATAATCATCTTCTACTGATTGGCCATACACATCATCATCTTCAAAATCTATGAAGCAGAAACAGAAAGATTAGTCTGCAAAATTTCTAAATACTTAATATTATAATTCAAAGAGTAGTTTTTACATCAAGTTTTAAGAAATTATGCATCTCTAGTATTCCAGAAGTGCAGTTAAGTACTGTGTATTTACCTAGTGTCCTGGTTTCAGCCAGGATAGTTAATTTTTTTCCTAGTAGCAGGCAGAGTGCTGTGTTTTCGATTTAGTATGAGAAGAATGCTGATAACACGCTGATGTTTTAGTTGTTGCTAAGTACTGCTTATGCTAGTCAAGGACTTTTCAGCTTCCCATGCTCTGCCAGGTGCACAAGAAACTGGGAGGGGGCACAGCCAGGACAGCTGACCCAAACTGACCAAAGGGCTATTCCATACCATATGGCATCATGCTCAGTATATAAACTGGGGGGAGTTGGCCAGGGAGCAGCGATCGCTGCTCGGGAATTTGATGGGTATCGGTCGGTGTGTGGTGAGCAATTGCATTGTGCATCACTTGCTTTGTATATCATTATTATTATTATTATATTGCTATTATCATCATTACTATTTTACTTTATTTCAATTATTAAACTGTTCTTCTCTCAACCCAGGAGTGTACTCGTCCCCTTCCGATTCTCTCCCCCATCCCATCGGGCCAGGGGGAGTGAGCGAGGGGCTGCGTGGTGCTTAGTTGCTGGCTGGGGCTAAACCATGACACCTAGGTAAGAAATTCTAAGTTACAATAATAGAATTTTAACATTTAATACTCTATTCATTGGGAAAGCCAAAAATTTTCAAGAGGTGCCATGCTTCACACCTCCTCCTTCAGCATCTCCTTTAGAAGTCTGCCCTCACAGCCCAAACACAACTTTCTACAGTTCCACAGATCTTCACCCATGGCACTTCTCTTGATATCTCTGCATGACCTCTCAATGGTCTTAACCACAGACAGTTCAATTACAATCTCTACTCCAACAACTCAGGATCAGCATTTCTACGCCATACCTATGTACTTCTCAGCTTTCTTCTCTGGTCTATCCTCACGGCCATCTACCTTTCAACAGAAGTTCAGCAAGGTAAAAACACAATTCACAATTTCTTTGAATGTGCAAAATTGTTTCAGCCAAAAAGCAAGAATCTGATACAGTTACTTAAATATAGTCATATACTTTCCCCATTTAAAAAAGAAAAAAGAAAAAAAAAAAGGTATCAGGAATCAGTTATCAGGAAACAGGAAGAGAAAGTAAATTATCCCCCTAAGTTATACCCCCCCAAAAAATCCTAGTATTATGTAAATCTTGAAAATAAATTTGTAATTTTCACTAAGTAATGATGAAATACATAAAAAAAATTAATGAAGTATTTTTAAAGATGTTATTGCATACACTTGGCAGTTTCACAAATAGCATGTATTGTTTATTGTTTTAAAAGAATGAGAGAAAAAAGTAGCTATCAGCTAAAAAAAAGATCTGCACTCTGATATCAGCTTACAGACCACAGAACTGGAACATTACAAACACTGTATCTATCTATAAAAGGCTCAGAATTTAGGACATGAAAGGTTCATTTATCTCGAAGTAAACTTAACACTATAATTCACTGTAATTAAAAAAAAAAAAATGCCAACCAAAAGCAGTAGCTAAAAGGGCTGGCACAAGTATACAAAAAGTTTAGTGAAAAAAACAGGAATCTACTTTGGAAATTAAGTATCACGGGATAAAGAAAACGTATTATAGGCTTGTTTTGATTGTTTGTCTCTAAAAAAAGAGCATATTGTTATCTACTTTTTGACCATGTTGAAAATAACACACTGTCTCCTGGTTCCATGCTAGGACCAATTAATCTATAAAAAGTCTAGAGAAGAGCTATACATTTTTTTCAAAGTAAAAACACTTTTTGGAGTTTGGCCAATACTTGGAGAGTGTCAAGGAGAACTCCAAGATGACTTGTGTGAATGGTTAACATTCACAGTTAGTAGTAAGTGAAATCAAGGTAAGTCTTGTCAGTGTGCATTATTTGAATCACTTGTATATCCCATACCGGTTTAATTTCTAGACTAAGAAAAGGACACCTCAGTGAAAATGGCTCAGCTTGCATTGATCACAAAAATAATTATTAAAAAGTGACAGAAATTGCAGAGAACAGAGTAAAACCCACAGAAGCATTCCACAGTATCAACAACTGTATCACCAACATACTCTCAAGGTGGAATACCACATTCAGTTCTGATCACAATACCTCAAAAAGGAGGGAGCAGAAATAGAATATGGTCAAATAAAGGCCACAAGACCTAAGGCCTCACAAGCCTTCCTGCGAAAGGAGACCAAAAAATAATGCAAATATTTACTTTAGAAAAAAGACAAATAATTGAGCCAGACAAAGCACTACAGAATAAGTGGCATAAAAAGAACATATGGCACTATATTAAATTTAAAAAAAAAAAGATGACACAAAAGCGTACTTCATTTGGGACAGAAAGGATTGTATGCAACTACAAAAGTAGTATACACTGTAAGTATAAAGACCACACATATACACACTTCTAATTAAACCTGACCTGTAACACAACAGTAAAGTTTCAAACAGCAATAACAACTTAAGCCTCATGGCCACAGCAAACAGCAAATTACTGTGTATTTCAGCACCGTCATTAAAAGAGATTCTAGTGAGCGTACACACACTGAAATGAATTCTATAGATTGGTCACCCAACTTCACAGATGACAGAGATTCAGTTGATATCAACATTTCAACCAAACTGTGATGAAAAAAATGTCTAGAGGATGAAAGAATCAAGCAGTAAAATCCCCAATCCAGTCTAAGTTTTTAGGTACCAGGTAAATTTGCACTAGTGAAACCTGCAAGGTAGGCCACACAGATGTCATGGCTTACATGGATTTACATGACTTCCCCGAAAATTACAAGATCACAGTACAAAAACTAATTTGTGCTACTGTAATACATATGCACATTGCATCTGTTCACTCAACAGCAAAAGACTAAATGCAGACAGAAGTATGTCTTGCAATTTTTTTATATCCTCTGACAAAGTGAGGCAACAAAATAGCTGATCCCATACGCAAAGATTCTTTCAAATACCAACTGGAAGTGTGTCCATTTTTCCACAGCCCAAGCCAACACAAACAAAACCTTTGAGAAAAAAGGGTGCAATGTACAGTTTGCCTAAGTTAATAGGACAGGGCACAAGGAAAGCTGTAGTACTGCAGGCATGAGCCGAGCTCTTACATGAGGGCTCATTCATTCCATGCAAGCTTAAGTAAAACACGACAGAACGGTGTCTGAAAAATAGGTTCTTCCTCAGATGCTCAACTCCATCTTCAAGAACTACATTTCTTCTACGAGGAACGGCTGTTGCCACTTATCTAGATATGGCTGAACACCAGCAACAATTTGTTAGTTAGACTGGGAACACAAACTTTTAAGCTTTACAAGACCAAAAACAGGCGGTTCAATTGCCTTGAGGCTTGGTTTTCAAGTCACTCCCACCCGCCTGAAAAGCGGTCAACTTCGGCAGCTTAAGGCAACTCAGGTAAAGCCCTGCCAGGGCTCGGCCTGCGTGCCGGGGCCGCGCTTTCCCCCTGTGAAAGCTCCCGGGAGCCCGCGGCAGCCGGAGGCGGCCCTGAGGGGCAGCAGCGGCGC